GTTGAAATTTCAATCTTAACACCTTCCAACATTTTGACTCGTCTAATAACTTTTTCACCTATAAAGTTACGAATTTCAACCTCACTTCCATCAATATGAACATTGATTGGAAAATGTGCATAAACATAGCGCATCCTATATTCAAATCCTTTTGTGACTCCAATTATCATATTTTTAATATGCGTTTTGACTGTACGTAAACAGGCAACATGTTTACGAGTTCCATGCCAAACAATAAGTTTAATCTTTTTGGCTTTCTTAAGATGTTGTATTTCCAAATTGATATGTTGAAACCCTTTCCTCAATTCACCACGCGGTCCTTTAACTGTCACCTCACGTGCTTTTACGGCAATTTCTATCCCTTCAGGTATATCAAGTTCTTCATCCTTATAAATATCCTTCATTTTTTATTTTCTAAAAAAAAATAATTTTTCATGTAAAAAAAATAAGAAATGTTTTATTATATTTTCTATTCGATTTAAATTATAAGATTATACATTAAATATTTATTTACAAAATGTTAATGAGTTGATACCAAGTTAATTGATGCCTTCTTTTGATGGTAATGATGAAAAAAATTTTTTATTTGATATTTTGACAATCGATGTTACATGAACTAAGTTGCAACACTGTAGATATTTTCTAAAATTAGACTAGTGTTAGAATAAGGCGCAGTCATTAACTTTACAAAAAATGGTAAAGTATACAAAGAAAGAAATTGAGCGCTTAGAACAAGAAATTATTGATCAGTTTATGAAAGATCCAAAATCGGTTGGTTAGCAGTTTTTGTTTTTGTTATATGTTAATAAAAAAATTATATTTATCTCTTTAATTAATATATATATAATAATAATAATAACAATAATAATTATTATTATTAGCATAAAGATAGACTAGTACAAGAACATAGAGTCAATGATTTTTTAGATAGAATAGAAGTAAATTTTTATGTGAATTATATAATGATACTGATGGGTAAATTTTCAATTATTTAAAAGCTTTTGTTAATATAAGAATAAATTTATTTCAACTTTTAACTGGTCTTGAAAAAGAGCACGTAAAACTGAAATAGATGCTTTGTCAGGAACTTCATAATTTATGCAAGATTTAAATCAACCAAAAGATTATCATCAGTGTTATCCAATGAAACAGTTGAGCCATTGGAATTGGAATTTTATTCATCAAGCTAAACAAAAACAAAAGATGACGGTAAATAAATCATTAATTTTATTCATTAATATATTTATTTATTTATTTATCAATTGTAATAATATTTCAATATTGGAAAAATTATTTTTATTAGAACTTGAAAAACAGTTTTCTGGTGAAGAAGGCCATGGAAATTTTTTAGATTTACATTCTATCCATAAACAATGTGTGAATTTAAAAGATGTAAAAAAAGATTGATTATTTAACTTTTTTAATCGAATTTGAACATTCCTCAGACTATCCAAAAGAAAACAAAAATGGAGAATATTTCAAGTAAAAATTTCTAGAATTAAATATAATATTTATATATATTAAAATTTATGATATTTATTTTGATTATAGATACTTGAAAGATTTGCGTGATTATTGGAAAGTTTTTTTCAAAAAGGGTCAACCCTTTATCCAATCTAGAAAGTATACGTAATGTAGTAGAAAAGAATTTAATGAGAAATGGTCTCAAGGAAAATCTCCTGGTTGGGAAAAAAAAGTTGGGTTTCGTGAAATTTGTTTTGTGTAGCATGTATGTGATGTGATAGTTATCTTGCTGAGGATTATTATCATTTTTATTTTCATTTTTATTTTTTAATTAATTTATAAGTCGTAAATCATATTCAAAGACAACTGTCTACGACGCACATTTAACTGGTAAAAAAACACATTAAAGCTGCAAATACAATAATAGAAAAGGATGTTACAACAGTGGATTATGAGACTACAAAAGGATTTTGAAGAAAATAAAGTAAGTAAAAACGTGAAATTGCATTTTTAGAAGCCTTGAAACAAAAATATTCAGAAAATCAGACACTCAATGTGAAGATACCAAAGCAAATGTTGAAAGAAACATGCATTGACTGAGAGAGAACGTAGAGTAATGTATCAATCAATCAATGAATTAAATTAAAACATTATTATAAATTATTCTAATTAAAATATAATTATTTTTTCCCTAAATAAATATAATAAATAGACGGAAATTGGAGTCTGAAGAAGTTAATGATATTGGAAGCGAGTCAGAAGATGAAGATAAAATTTATAATCCACTTAAGTTGCCATTAGGATGGGATGGTAAACCAATTCCATACTGGCTTTATAAATTACACGGACTTGGTATAGAATATCCATGTGAGATTTGTTGTAATTGTGTCTATATGGGTAGAAAAGCATTTGATAGACATTTTCAGGTTAATAAAGAAACTATGATTATCTTTTATTTGATATTTAAAATAGCACAATTAAAATAATATAAAAAAATTTTTTTGAACTAATATTTATAGGAATGGAGGCATGCACATGGTATGGATGTTTGGGAATACCTAATACAAGGCATTTTCATGAAATCACTTTAATTGAAGATGCTTATGCGTGTAAGCAACTAATAAAATTTTTTTTTCCTAATTAGAATATAATTTATATAATTTATATATTAATATTTTTAAATTTCTAGTATGGGAAAATCTTAAAAGCAGATATCATGGAAGAATTTGAGGAAATGTTTTTAATAAGAAAACTCATGATGATTTAAAGAGACAAGGATTATTAATTGAACAATTTAATATTTAATATTTTTTACAAATTTTAAATAGATAAAATATTTTGTTTTAAATCAAGAAACCAATTATCATTAATTGCAGATATGTGTTTCATATAAGTTGATAATAATATATATTACTTGCTGTTTCAACTTTTTTTTTTGTTAAATAATGTAGAGGAAGGATGAAGATTATTAACACTTTAAATTTATTGATGTATTTAATAATAATATTTACCAGTTAGCCTATCATTTACTATGGTTTTATAATTAGTAGGCTATAGCAGGATTTCTATGATATACATTTTAAAACTTGATATTCATTGCCACAAGAAAAAGAGCCAAACACTCACAAAGTTGTATTGATTGTTTCTTTACACTAAAATTTCATAAATACTATTGCAAATAATATATAATTCTAACAACAACATTCTTCGTTGGGGTGGTTGGCCAACTATGTAGATCAAAATTATATCATAGTGGTCTTTCGACCTTTAATCTTTGTTGAAAGATAAGAATATTGAGAATATTAATAATCAAACCACGTTAATTTCAGAATTTTTAAGACATAACAAAGTTAGGCATCTTCAGGTAATGGTTTCCTAATATTTATTTTGAGGGGGAGGTAGACTCCAGAATATATGAGTCTTCCGCATCTTCGTAAAGAGTGATTTGAATAGAATCCTCTTGACGTAAGGGATTTTACCTATTAACGAAAGGGTTCGAATATCAATCCTCTTTCTCTTTATAATGAAAAGGCATTTTCATTATAAGATATATTTATTTATCTGCTTTAATTATTTTTCTTTTTTGATTAATTCTTTGACTGTAAATTTATTCCTAATTTATCTGACGAATATGATGTAAGATCCAAGAGAAATGTAAAAGGAGGCAATAACTTCTTATTTTCATCAATGTTTTTATAAATCCTTTGAACGATACTTCAGTATCTGCATTTACAAATAAATCCCAAATTTTATTCATTGCCAAAGAAAACAAAAGTCTCCCCTGATGATGTGGTGTAGTAGCCATTTTATAGATTAACGGAAAGTAATCGTTAATCCTCTGGAATTCCCAAACGTAAATAGTTTTAATTTCACTAGAATTTAGCGGAATTTATTGGCTTGGCCGAAAGTCACGTGATAAGCTTGCGGCCACGTGTATATTTCAAAGCATCTCTAAATCAGACATATTTCTAATGCGACAACTTAAGGCAATGAATGATGGGTCAATAGCCACTAGTAGACGCCTTAAAAAGAAGGCCAAGTCTAATAAAGGAACTTTCTATCACTGGGATCATAATACACTGCCACAAACCTATTTAATATGTTAGGAATTGGTAGGACTTATTTTGAAAATATCAGAAATTATCTGATAAACAATTGACTTATATATCAAGAGGCATTGTAAAACTTTATTTATATTTGAATACGCGTTTGCAAATCCTTTGCGAACATACATGGTAATAGACTAAAAAGAATAACAAATAATTTTTTGAGGAAATCTAAGACTAGAGACTTGTTCTATCTATCAATCAATTGATAGAATTAAGGTGTGGAATTCTACACTTTTGAAAATTTAGGAGATCTTTAGACCGCTCGCGCCATATTAAAAATAACTTGTGTTACGTATTATAACTTTTAAATGCTGAATTGAAGTTTATTTTGTTTATTTTTAGACACTATGTTTCTTCTATAATTTAATTCGTGATCCCTTTTAAGAAGGGAAGCAACAAAATTTTTTAATAATGCTACCCATAATCTCAACACATTTCTAAAATAATGTGTAATAAAATAGTTCCAAGGAGAATAAAGTATGACAAACGCAATAATAATAATGACAGCACCCTGCTAATCATTACTAAAAATCTTTTATTAATATTAATATTTAATATTTAATATATCAATTCGGATCAATCCGAATTCATATTCATATCATCCGCTCGGAACCTTATGTAAACATGAAACAAACAAAAAATATGAAGTCAAACAACAATTATCTCATTAACAAATTCTTCAACAACGCTTAAAGCCGTAAATTCCAAAAAGGGGTCTAATAGAACAAAGATATACCACCCTTTAATCTAAATAGCATAGTTCATTCATATAAATAATATTGAAAAGCCGAAATGGTTGCCGTAATTACTTTTTTCCGAAAAACAATTTTCGGAAAATAACTTACAAACCCATCTTCCAAATAAAATTTTAGAAACTTTTCTTTACATGGGTACAATAATAAAATATTTTTTCCATGGGATAATTTTTCAAGTAGTCGAGTCTAAATATTTTTAATGATCATTATATAAAATTTGGAATTAAATATTATATATATATATATATATATATATATTTATATATTTATATTTATATATTTATAGATAATATTGTTCTAATGATATTCCAAATATTTCAATAGCAGATAAATTATTTTCTTTAGAATAAATGTTATAATCATCAGGAATTTTACCTGATATTGCACAAATGTTATCATGCAAGAATTTTGACCAATTAATAAAAGTTTCCATATCAACGGTAATATTATAATCCAACATTTTGAAAAAAAACCATTCGTACATATTTAATTCTTTTGCTGAAAATCCTGTGATTTGTGCCCATCTCTTACCGCTACCATAGTAGACATCGTGTAAAAATTTGCAAGCTAATCTTAATGCTGACACGAATGCTATATGTGGATGAAGTGATAAAGGGTTTTTTTTCACCAACGCACCTGGACAATAATTCTTATCATGCCATGATAAGCCATTTTTCTTGTAACATGTTGTTGTTTCATTAGATGATGATGTTAATGATGGTAGATTTGTATGAAAATGTTTGGTATTTGGATCTTTCATGTGGTTAAAAAATTTTTTAAATCTCATAATATAAAATAATGTCAATTCCATTGTTCCTACTGATGCTTCTGATTTTTTTAATACTAATCTAAGCCATAATATTTTATTAGGTGTAAAGTTTATTTCCCATATCACTTGAAGGGCATAAATTAATGTATCTATGAGGAAATTTAAAAAATTAATAATAATATTTATTTATTTATTTATTTATTTATTTATTTATTTATTTATTTATTTATTTATTTATTTATTTATTTATTTATTT